AAATACCATACTCTCAATTTAATTATATTTTTTTAATTGTCTAGGTGCTTTGATCTCTTACTGCTAGCTTCCAAGTTTCAATTTTTTTATTTATTTTTTGGCTGGAGGTTTTTTTTATATACAGTATATACAGTAGAATCTTATTAATTTCCACTAAAGACTGGGACACCTGTTGCTAATGACTGAATTTTATAAAATTAATTGAGTAAATGAAAAAAATTGAAAAGAGAGGATATTGCATCATATTGTTTTTTGTAAATTGTAGAGGCATTCATACACCATAACAACTTAGATGTGGACAAGTTTGTTTTAATGTATTAAAGGTATTTCATATGAAATGAGATGTAATAGATTTTGTAAATGAAATATACTGCTGCATTTACTATAAAATCTTTGTTTTGAGTTGGGGATAGAGTAGACTATCTTGTTTCTGGGTAGATAAGCAGAGTTCTACTATATCAAAATATGATGTTTCATTGGGTTGCCAAGCCACAAGGCACTACCTGCATTTTCCTCTGAAATGCTCAATCTAACCATATGATCTGTTCTAAAAAAAAGAACCATATTGTTAATTGGAGATTTTACTCCAATTAGATGATCATTCAAGTGAAGACTTGTTGCAAAGGGAAAAAAGGCCCACACGGTTGACTGATTGATAGTGACCTCTAAATAATGCTAAAACCAATGAGACAAATTTGGCATGAGCATACAGACTGAGGGTACATCTACGTTGTAATAAAAGACCTGGGGCATGGCCACAGCTGGGGGTCAGCCAACTTGGGCTCAGACTGTGCAGCTAAAAATTTCAGCATAGACACTGGGGCTCGGGCTGGAGCCCACAAGGGGGATGCCTCTCAGAGCCAGGATGCAGCCTAGGCCTGAACGTCTACATTGCAACTTTTAGCCCTGCAGCCCAAGTACAAGTCAATTGACTTGGGCTCTGAGACTCTGTGCCATGGATTTTTTTTTACTGCAGATGAAATCCTGACCCACTGAAGTCAATGGGAGTCTTGCCATTGATTTCAGTGGGACCAGGATTTCACTCTGAATATTCCATACAGATTCCTTCAGAATTTTTCCACAGAAGAAAGAAATTCTCCCCATCTTTAGGCTACTCCCATTGCAATGGAAAGAAGTTTTAAATATATCAGTGTGGAAAAATGAGGAATGCTAAAACACACTATAATTAAGGTCCCCAAAATTCCACAGCCTCTGGAAAAATATGACCAAAAAGAACTAAAAGCAGCCAATACATCTTCACGAAGGTAGACACTTGCAGAGTGGGCCCATCAGAGCCTGGTCTGCTCGGGTGATGGGTATGAAGCCAGGTGTTTCTCCCTGGCTCAAAGGACTGCTGTTCCTCCCTTTGTTGGGAAACTGCAGATTTAAAGACCAAATACTAAATCTGTAGATTTGTCTGAGGGTGGTGAAAATTAACAGATTAGACAGCATAATTTTACGCCAAAATATATGGACAGTCAAAAAATGGAATATATGGAATTTAAAATTTTTAGATGTGGTATTGAGAAGATTTAGAAGATTTTCAAGATTTAGATATACTTCCTGGTATTGAGAATCTATTGAAAACAATATAAAATGTGAATTTAATGTTTCCTTTTATCAGATACAGCTAAGAATAAATTGTCTACATTATTTTAACTTGATGCTGCTTTTGGTGAAATATGATGAACTATGATATCTTTTCCCTCCATTTTTGTTAACTTGCATGATAATTCAGAAACAAGATTTTGGTTAATTAGGAAGTCTGTATATTTCTTCACATCAGACAGATCCACAGAAAGAAAATATGAATGCTATAATGTCTGAGTCTTGAAATGGTATACAGAGAGCCTGTTTTTTTAATCTGCAAAGTTGCAAGTTTAAATAAGGATTAATACATATGAAACTCAGCCAAAAATTTTTTTTAGTCTAAATTGACTACTTCTCCTGTGTGTAAATCATCATGATCTAGGAATGAGATTAATGACTACTTATCATATTTTTAATTTTTTATGCTATTAAGAGAATAAGAAAGCGTTTATTTTTTATAACAATTTAATGTCTTTATTATCATTCCAAGTGTCAACATGGTAATAAATGCTGTTATTCATAAATATTTTAGTTGCCTGTTTATTTCCCCTTTCTTCCCTTATTCACAGGAAGTTTTTTTTCTTAATTGTTATTTTGTGTACGATTATTTAGTAGCATATATTTTCTAGTATCTAATAAGGACTTTTTCAGTTTTTCTAGGTGTAACTTTCGGTAGTTGTAATTAAAAATTTGTAAATATTAAAAAATAAGCAATAGAAAAGATATGTAAGTAATAAGCAGCCTGATCTTATAGGGTTTGAGTCAAAGTCCACTAGTCAACAAAAAGACATAACATAATCACATCGCCAAAAGAGACGTCTCCTTAGTGAATGCCTCCTGGAACAGGGATTTAGAGTATGTCTGTATCACAGATGCAACAGCGGCACAGCAACAGCGCTGTAGTGCCTGAGTGTAGATACTTGATACAGCAACAGAGAAGGGTTTTTCCATCATTGTAGTTAAACCATGCCTTCGGGAGGCAGTAGCTAGGTTGACAGAAGAATTCTAGCGGTGTCTGTACTGGGACTTAGGTCGACTTACCTGTGTCTCTCAGGATGTGAATTTTTCACACACCCAAGTGATGTACCAAGGTTGGACATGAGTTTTAGATGATCAGGCCTTAAATTATCATTACAGCTACATTTCAATGATTATTTTGTAAATTTCATAGAGCTACAGGCCAGAAGGAACCATTAGATAATCTAGTCTGGCCACCTTTTATATCACAGGCCATTAAATTTCACCAAATATTTCTATATTGAGCCCAATGACTTTAGGTAGACTAATGCATTTCAGTCCTCAGGAATCTAAACTGTTGTGTGCCATAGGAAGAAAACAGGAGAGACCAAGGTGCCACCAATACCTGAGGCCCCTGCAATGGCAGGGAATAGATAAGGTAAAATGTCTGGATGATCTTAGCATGTGATCCTCACTGCATGCTGCTGCAGCAGACAGTGAAAAAAACCCCAAGGTCCTAGCCAATCTGACTTGGAGGCAAATTCCTTCACAATCCCAAATTGGGCAACCAATTTGATCCTGAACGTCTGAGCAAGACATATCAGCCAAGCTTCTAAAAAAGAGAATTCTCTCCACCATTTCAGACCAGTGGCCCACACTGCCCAATATCCCATCTCCAGCTGTGGCAAATCTCTGATGCTTCACGGGAAGCTGAAAAAACACCAAAGTACAATCCACAATACATCTGGTCAATTGTGCTTTGGGGGGAAAAGATTCTTTCCTGATCCCTGCAGAATGCTGGCTGTAGCCCTGAAACATGAGATTTAATTACAGCTCTGCATTAAGACAATAGCTGTAAGTTTTATGAGCAAATTGAGGGAAAAGCCCTTAAGACCCACCTAGCAGGATCAACAACCTACAACGGGTGCCAGGAGCAGGTAAGAGTGCAGTATCACACCCTGCCCACCGGAGACACTCACAAGAGGTGAATTGTCCCCTGTCACAAGGACACTTCAAAGGGGTTTGGGGAATGGGGTGTACCTATGTTGTTAACCTGCAAGGCAAACTAAGGACTGGCAGAGTCCAGATGAGATGTTTTTGATGGGTTAAAGGCTGGTGGGGTTAGGTTGCTGCAGGCAGGTACCTAACAAGGTGACTCTCAGTCCTGGGTACCCCTGGAACCATCACTATTAGACCATTCAAATGCTTGTTTCCTATCACTTCCTTCAATTATAGGCATGTTAAACTCATACTCTGAAATTTGCTAAACAACGAAGTGACACTGAGATTAGAAACACAAACACAATGACAGAAAATTCACCTGTAAATTTGGGGGGAAAGAGCTGAAACAGATTCAGTTGGAGGTGGAAATGTGGAAAGGAGTAACGTTGAAAAAACTACGTCTGATGGTTGGTAGCAGAAAGGGCCATTGGAATATTTTCCTGCATATATAGAGGTATATACCTCATGGAGTAGAGAGATAACAATCACTCTCAATACAGCTTTGGTGTGATCTAATCTAAAAATATTACACTTAATTCTTGGCACATCAATACAGTAAACATATTGACAAACTGAAGAGTTCACAGAAGAGCAACAAGGAAGAACTGATTTATGAGGAAAGATTAAAGTGCTATATGTGTATAGCCTGACTAAGAGACAATTATGCTGAAACGTAAGTGCCCAATCCTGTCTCAGAGGAGTACCTGGGAATACAACTGGACCCTAATTTTATGAATATTTAATGGGTAAAAACATCACGAGAAGAAATTATTTAAGGTAGTCCAAAGGGAGTATAGCTAGTAGTAAAGGGATGTAACTAAGAAAGGGAAAATAAAACCTGCATATTAGGAAAAATAATTCTTGAGAATTAGATCTGCTAGAGTGTGAAATAGTCTCCCAAGGGAAGTGGTGGAAGTGTGTGACATATTTAAAACTAAATTACATAAATTACTAGAAAATACATTATAGGGAACAATCTTGCATTGACAGGGGGAGAGGCTGGATGACCAAAAATTGCATAAACTCTGTTTCTTTGAAAAATATATTTTAAAAATAAAGATGAAATGGAGGGCAACTCTAGTTTAATATTCCCCTTGTGACGTTCTGAATGTTGTGGTACCCTACCAATGCCAAGAAGTCGTATTTACTGACATTCTGTTACCGTTGTGTTCAAGTTAAAATACATTGGGGCCCAATCCTACAGTCCTTGTGCAGGAAATATGTCTCAGTGTACTGCAGGATCAAACCAGATCGTGAAACTCTGCCCCCACCCGTAATGAGTATCTTGGACCAAATCATGGAGCTGTGCTGATTTACAATAGCTGAAGATTCTGGCTCTTTTGTATCACCAGTGGACTAAACGGACTGCAAAGAATTCCATTATCCTGCAACTGTTACTCAGTTTCCAATTCTCTGGTAAGCACATGGCAGAGCAGTGTTAATGCAGAAATATGTCTAAAGAAATTGGTAAGGAATTACTTGATTTTTTTCCTGCACCTTCTCTTTCATTTTGAGATCAAATGACACTAGAACGGGATATGAACATTTAAAAGAGAGATTAAACAGTTCAGGTTCCACAGATCCACACGTGGAGGGGGTGCTCTGTGCCCAGATCTGCCCATACCAACGCGGAATGGAGATGAGTTGCCTCTGAGGTAACCTGGGCCCCCTTGGAGAGTTCTGTGCCTGGCAGTGATGGGAATCTTCAGGCAGGAAGGGCTTTTGGTTTAAGAATCGAGTTTAAGAGATTTCACAACTGCCCCAAAATCTCAGAATTTTTAATGGTGATGTGGCTGGAAGTGGTGTGGGTTGAAAGTCCAAATGCATTGCAACCTGGAACTTTCATTGAAATAGACTAAAGAAGCAAGAGAGAAGGGTCGTGTCCAGATAGGCCCAAAGGGGACAGTTTTCATTATAGTCTAGATTCCTTTTAAGAAAGCTGTGGTTTTATTTTCCTGATATAAAAATGTATTTGACATGCAACTATTTTTCAAAAGGCAAAGAGAAAACTAAGCATAATGATGGGGTGACTCAAGAGGAAAATCTCTGGCTTTACAATTGCCAATTGTAGGTAGTCATGAGACTCTGCATGGATAGAGGGAGTAAATCCTGGCAGCATAACTCCTGTATCTTTGTCAAACTCCAATTTTGATAATTACTTTTTCTAAATTCTCCCTATTTCAGATTAATACCATCTTTGGCCCAAATCCTGCAAACTTCTATGCACATACTTTACAATGGAACTACTCACGCGTGAAGTAAGCTTTTGCAAGATCAGGTAATTTGTCATTAAAAGCTGTTTGCTTTTAAGTGGCTGTAGCATTGCAGTCCAGATTTGGCTGCATTTCAGTGGTGAATAAAGTGGTTTGTACAAATTGAATACCTACCCTTGTACTTACAGGGTGGGATCCATGACGGGACTTACGCATTGCAATATTGTCAGAGTGCTTAGCCTTTGAGTGCCTAGAAAATCACGCTCCATAGGTGCCTAGTTCTGCTAGAGGTCCATGATGATGTGTTCAGCTGCATAAGTCTTATAGATAGGGCCTGAAAGAAGGCAGCTCCCTTATAACCTTCAGCCGTGTGGCTACAGTTCTCACACAGCATGTCGGGGGCGAAGGAATTTGAAGAGGAGCCTCCACTTCAGTCCCTGACCCAACGCCCCAGTGACTGAGCGACCTGCTCGCCCGCCCCGCCCCGGCACCCTTGTGCTGCGAGCCGGGGGAGGCCGGGCGGCTGGCACGGGGCACTGCCCGCCCGAGAGGCACCACGGCTGGGAGGGGGCAGCGAGGGGGGCGGAAGGGAGGGGAGCGGCGGGAGAAGGGGATTGGCTGGCGGGAGGTAGGGCGGCAGGAGACGTCGCGCACGGTTGAAGCGTCCCTGTTGCCATGGAACCCGTTGCGGGCGGTGATTGGGGGAGCGGGCGGTGCCCCGGGGGCCGATGGGAGCGCGGAGCCGCCGCTGCGAGTTTCAAAGCGGCAGTCCCAGGTAGAGCGGCCCTGTCCTCGCCTCGCGACAATTAGCGCTGGGCTGGGGGGTGGCGGGGTTCGGGAGGGCGCTGATGGGACTGGAGGCAGGAGTATGGGCGGGGGGGTGGTTTGGGAGGCCGGGGATGGCAAGGCCTGTGGGTTGGGAGCTGGGGGCGGGGCTAGAGGGTGGGGGCCTGTGGGTTGGGAGCTGGGGGCGGGGCTAGAGGGTGGGGGCCTGTGGGTTGAGAGCTGGGGGCGGGGCTAGAGGGTGGGGGCCTGTGGGTTGGGAGCTGGGGGCGGGGGATTGTGGCTTGGCAGAGTAGTAGATAGGAGGATGGAAGGGCTGAGGATTTTGGCTAATGGTGGGGGCCTAGCTTAAGGGCAAGATCCATTGGTGACAGGCCTATGAACGGGCACTGCCCTTGTCCTCTTAACTTCTCCTGACAGGTACTTACTGCCTCCATGCTCAGTGCTCGGCCCAGGAGTAGGAGGAGGGTCGCCCACTCCAGCCCTCCATCCCCAACCAGCTCTGAGGATGAGCAGCCTTTGAGCTCCTCCACTTACTCCTTGCTCTCCCCCATTTACCATCAGAGCTTCCAGAGCTGCAATGAGGAGGATAGGGAGGAAGTGGCACTATCAGCTAGGGGGCAAAGAACCTTCAAGAGGAATAAACACAATAGGTAATCTGCATTTACTCCCATTCCCTGGCTGCCTTTGCTATAATAGAAGCAGCTGGGTCCAGTAGGTAGCACCAGGAGCCAAGACTCCTGGGGTCTGTTCTCATCTCCATCACTGATGTGTGACCTTGCCCTTACCACTTAAGACAAAACTTTCGAACGTGGGTGTAGAAAGTTAGACAGCCAAATACTTATGTAGTCACCTAATGAAGGCAATCTAACTTTGAGGTAGTGAGAAGTTATAATTTCCATTTTTTTTCAGGTCAGTGGGAGTCTCAGGTCCTTGGTATTTCATCTCTGAATATCAGATCACTTCTGTAGCTGCCTAGACAATGGATTTGGGACTGTAAACATCCACTCTTTGGAAATGTTATTAATCTCTATGTGCCTCAGTTTCCTTTATTAAAAGGGAATGATACTTGCCTACTTTTTGAATGTGCTTTGAGAGTTAGAAGATATTTTCTCTCAAATACATAAAACTACTACCCAACACAGGGATTTGAGGTGTATCAATTGTACCAGCGTTGGCTTCCAGGGTTTTGGACTCCCCATTTCTCATTCTTTAGTTGTTCTCTTTCTTCAAATAATTCTTCCCTCCCCATCTGTTTTTCTTTCCTCTCCCCACTCCAGTGGTTGGGAACAGGGTTGTGGTGAATAATCTGTCACATTCCTCAAAAGGTGGCTGAGAAGATGTAGCAGCCAGGACACTTTCCAATGAAAAGCATACCAGATCTACACCTTGGCTAAGAATAGGCACAGTTAGCAAGACACTAGTCAAAATGCGTGTGCTAGATAGTATGGTTCTGTAAAATTTGGGACTCTCTTGCAAATAAATGAGTCTCTTCAGCTCTTATGCATGAGTCTCAAAAGCTTGATTGGATACCAATAATCATTTTCACTTGAGAGATGAAAATATAAAGTACTTAGCAAGGAAGCATTAAACATCTAATTATGAATTTCTGCATAGAATTTTCATCCTACTTTATCTAGAAGATAATGACTCCAGGAAAACTTCTCCAGGTTCAAGAGGACTGAGACAAAAAGAATGGTAAACATAGCACTTTACTTGATAAAGCTTGGCCCAGTCCCCCTTCAAGGCATCTTTAGAGCCCTGAGGGAAGTTCTCAGGTCCCAGTTTCACTTTACTCCTGTTCTTGTTCCTCCTTCCATTACCCATCCACCAGCTTGTCCAAGTACCTCTGTTCCTCAGCCTCTATGTCAAGCTACTGTCTCCTCCATGCTGCCTGAACACCAGCTGGGGGAATATTGAGAGAGCAAAAGAAACTGTTCTACGGGTCTCAGTTCCCATGCCCGTTACTACAGCAATCCCTGGCAGCTGTGAATGCCATTGCAGAAAAAGTCCTTGTAACCAGGTTGTCTGAGCAGCAACCTCTTGTGGTGGGTCAGAGCATGACTCACACCACTGTGGGTCCCTCAGCATCACCTCTTGCAGATTATGGAGTCTGGTGCCTTAGCCCTCGCGTGCTCAAGGGTGTCAGAGTCCAAAAACTCCTAAACTTCAGAATCAGTATTATCTGTAGGTTTGTTGTAAGGACTCTTGCTTGTCTGCTTCAGACGTGTCTCTGGGCATCTAGTCCCTTTTGGTTGGTTTTCCTGGGCTTAGTCATCCTATTCACCAAATGGTTCACCAAGCTGCCTTAGGCTCTTGGCTGGACCCAAGCTTCCCATTTCAAAGAAGTAGCATAGTTCTCTCCTTCCTGGTCAGCCCTGGAGTGGCCTAGCTCTCCCTCTTTTAGCTCCCCGTTCCATACCTGATATTAGCTGCAAATATAGCAGGGTGGGGTCATCTGGATTCACAAGCTTCTTTAACCCTCTTGTTGCCACAGTGTCCTCAATCTCTGCTTGTTAGTGTGGGGCGAAGACATCCCATCACAGTCCCTGCTCAGTCCCAGGCTGGAACACGCTCGGGACAGAACAGTACTGAGCACGTACATATGGCAATTTTCAGACACTTATAACACCACGAAATTTGGGTGGATTCTCACAGGAACTGCAAAAGGCACCTACCTCTTTAGCCTCCTGCCAACCTGGCCAAATTTCAAATCCCTGCTCCAAAGCATGGTGGCTCTGGAGCTTCTGAATGAAACATTTAAAAACCTTTAAACATTGGTAAAACAATTTATTTTTCCCTAATCTCAATTTCTTAAACAGGTGAATCTTTTGTGTTGAAATTATAAGAAAAAAAAAGGGGGGGGGCAGACACTCGTGGGAAATTTCAGCTCAAACAATTAAAGCATGGCAACATTTTATAAAGGAAAGTGCTAGGCAACCTTAGTTATAGGTGTTACTGCTAGCTCCACCTATGATCTTGGGTCACTTACTTTCAGCATGCATCTTGATAGGTTTACTCTGATATATTGACTTAGTGAATCTACTGTTAATAAAAGTCACTAAACTTTCTATTAATCAAATTTCAGTTCTTCTGACTCAATACATATAACTTGAGTTAGGGAGTTAATCTAATATAAATTCTCACTAAGTCCTTTCAGAACTCCCTGACTTGTTTTTCTTCAGAATAATGCATAGTACTGGATGTTCTGGCACAGTGGTTTTCAACCTTTTTTCATTTGTGGATCCCCACAAAGTTTCAAATGGAGGTGCCTGCTCCTTTGGAAATTCAACCTCTGGTCCATGGACCCCAACCATAGAAGTCTTACACTGAAAACTGGCTGAACAGAATTCAACTATAAATGTTGCACATGCTCGGCATGGCATTTGATTCAATGTGAGTAAGGGCGCTAAACTATGGGCTTTTATAGTAACGACAACATTTCCAGGTTTTGACCTGTAGGTGGGAGTATTCACATACTTTTGATCAGAGAAAATGGAATGCCTTTTCTGGGATCTGAGACTTAATTCATAATCACCTTCCGCACACCCCTTACACATAATCTGCGGACCCCCAGAGGCCTGCAGACCACAGGTTGAAAACCACTGTTCTATTACTTCAGAAAGTGGTCCTGTGACTTTCTATCGAACTTTTACGTGATTCAGACATCGGCAAGCAGTATTCAGCTCATCCGTGTCACAAAATCATTAGCTGATAATGAATCACAACTGGTAGACAGTACAGAATACAGCATGTTTAGGTGGCAATATAAAATAAAAATCATTGAATTTTAAGATTACTGCATCCCTGTTTCAGATTCCATTACATCAGTTTGTTTTGTTACAAAGGGTGTTTTTGTAAGGCGAGCCTGATGTTTTCAGGCAAAAGCTCAGTACTTTAACAAAATACACTATTCAAAATTGCTTTGGATTTGACACATTAGTGGCTAATGTTTTGGGAATTCTTTATTTGTGAGTCTTAAAGATGGAAAAGACTCTGTCCTTGCCAGTGCAAAAGTGCTTGCCAAACTATTCTTGCTTATGATTAAAACTAACTTATAAAATTCCAGTGGGTTCATCTGTGAGTTTTCTACATATTTTTTTTTTAGGCTATACAGAAACTTCCCTTCTTTCAGCCAATATGTTTTATCCGGTCTATAATAGTCTAAATATCCCAAATATGGCTTCCACTCCATCTCCTGGGAGACTACGGAGGGTTGAAGTCAATAGGAGTAGAATTAGGCTAATGCTGAGTCCTTTTGAAAGTCCAGTCCTACCAGTATAATGGCTCGTGATCATATTCAGCCTATATTTTCCTCTGCTTAACTTGATCTGATTTACTCACGGTTAGTCTCTCTTTTACCAACCTAAATAATTTTTGTTTTGATTTTTACACCCTTATATCTATTTCCCTAATTCACCAAGCTATATGTTTGCTTAATGTTACTTTTCCTGTAACATAAGAATGGCTATACTCGGTCAGACCAGAGGTCCATCTAGCCCAGTATCCTTTCTTCCGACAGTGGCCAATGCCAGGTGTCCCAGAGGGAATGAACAGAATAGGTAATCCCAGCTTCTGTCAAATAGAGGCTAGGGACACTATCCTTGCCCATCCTGGCTAATAGCCATTGATGGACCATGAACTTATCTAATTCTTTTTTGAACCCTGTTATAGTCTTGGCCTTCACAACATCCTCTGGCAAGGAGGTTGACGCTGCATTGTGTGAAAAAACACTTCCTTTTGTTTGGTTTTAAACCTGCTGCCTATTAATTTTATTTGGTGACCCCTAGTTCTTGTGTTATGAGAAGGAGTAACTAACACTTCCTTATTTACTTTCTCTACACCAGTCATGATTTTATAGACCTCTATCATATTCCCCCTCTTAGTCATCTCTTTTCCAAGCTGAAAAGTCTCAGTCTTATTAATCTCTTCTCATATGGAAGCCTTTCTATACCCAAATCGTTTTTGTTGCCCTTTTCTGACCCTCTTCCAATTCCAATATATATTTTTTGAGATGGGGCGACCACATCTGCACACAGTATTCAAGATCTGGGCATACCATGGATTTATATAGAGGCAATATGATATTTTCTGTCTTATTATCTATCCCTTTCTTAATGATTCCCATCATTCTGTTTGCTTTTTTTGACTGCCGCTGCACATTGAGTGGATGTTTTCAGAAAATTATTCACAATGACTCCAAGATCTTTTTCTTGAGTGGTAACAGCTAATTTAGACCCCATCATTTTATATGTATAGTTGCGATTATGTTTTCCAATGTACATTACTGTGCATTTATCAACTTGAATTTCATCTGCCATTTTGTTGGCCAATCACCCAGTTTTGTGAGATCCTTTTATAGCTCTTCGCAGTCTGCTCAGGACTTAACTATCTTGAGTAGTTTTGTATCACCTGCAGATTTTGCCACCTCGCTGTTTACTCCTTTTTCCAGATCATTTATGAATATGTTGAATAGGACTGGGCCCAGTACAGACCCTTGGGGGGACATCACTATTTACCTCTCTCCATTCTGAAAACTGACATTTATTCCTACCCTTTGTTTCCTATCTTTTAACCAGTTACCAATCCATGAGAGCACCTTTCCTCTTATCCCGTGGCAGCTTACTTTGCTTAAGACCCTTGGTGAGGGATCTTGTCAAAGGCTTTTTGAAAATCTAAGTACACTATATCCACTGGATTCCCCCTTGTCCACATGCTTGTTGACTCCCCTCAAAGAATTCTAGTAGATTGGTGAGGCATGATTTCCCTTTACAAAAACCATGTTGACTCTTCCCCAACAAATTATGTTCATCTATGTGTCTAACAATTCTGTTCTTTACTATAGTTTCAGCCAGTTTGCCCGATACCGAATTCAGGCTTACTCACCTGTAATTGCAGGGATCACCTCTGGAGCCCCTTTCAAAAATTGGTGTCACATTAGCTATCCTCCAGTCATTTTGGTACAGAAGCTGATTTAAATGATCTGCAATTTCACATTTGAGTTCCTTCAGAACTCTTGGGTGAATATGATCTGGTCTTAGTGACTTATTACTGTTTAGTTTATCAATTTGTTCCAAAACCACCTCTAATGACACCTCAGTTTTGTAGCTCTGCTCTAAACGTTCTCCAGTTTTTCAGTCTTTTTCTGGTCTTGAGTGCAATAATGGAGGTGCGGTTTAACCAGAGTCCTGTATTGAAGAATCGTCCCTGCCACCTTCCACAAAATGATGTGTCTGCACAGAATTTTGTTGGCCTCTTTTCCTGCTATATCAAATGACAGCCACTATTGTCCTGGTCTCTTTCACTATGACTCCTCAGGTTGCCCCCCTCAACTGAATAGTTAAATTTTAGATTATTTTCTTCCAATTTTATTAGCTTGCATTTTTCAAGTTAAATCTCACATTATTTTCTACCCATATGTTTAATCACTCGGTTCCCTTTATAATATTTCTCTACTCTCACTAATGTTTACAATAGTTCTCAGTTTAGTATTGTCTGTGAATAATACTTACGTTTACCCTTTTATAGGTTATTAATCATGATAAATGAGGCAGAATTCTGTTAGATATGAACAACAAGTACTGAAGTTGTGGACCCTAGAACTCCTTTTATATTGAAAAAGAATGCTATGTTTAAATATACTTTATTTAAATAGAGTAAATTGGTTTTATAATGTTACTATAGCATGCATTTCTGGATGTCCATTATACTAAATCAATGGGACTACTCACAGTAGTAATGCTAAGAATATAGGTAAGTGTCCGCAAGACACCAAAGAAATCTGGCATAAATTGCTGTGGGGAGGGGTATTTCCATTTTTATTGGCTGAAAGAAGAGAAGTTTCTCTATAACCTAGAAAAATATGTAAACTCACAGATGAGCCCACTGGTATTTTATAAGTTAGGCTCTGTTTTGATCAAAACTAATATACATATATTTTCACATATGAGCTAGCATGTGTATATGGTGGTATTATCATAAAGGTTTTATTGGCATGAGGTTGGGATGGCTACCTTACTCATCAGTGGGGAAGAAAACATGAATGAGTTATATGGGGCATCCCAAATAAGTTCTAATAAACTATTAAAGTTTTAGAAAGGATTTTTATTAGGACTGTTTGTGTGTGTCTCTCCTCAAAGTTCAGGTGCCTTGGTACCATGAAACCAGGATTTTAAGGGACATGAAAATCTATTACTAGCTGTGAAGGGCTGAGAGATACTGGACTTGTTACTGATGGAATGTAGCAACAAAGATGGAATATAGCAAATGTAATTTTAACTCCCTGCTTTTCCCTGATCCATACTTCAGGAGAAGGAAGGAAACACTTGAACAGGTTTTTTGTTTTCTTGTTAAATGGTAGCTGTTTGAATCTGCTCCATAGTTTGGAACATTAAAATTAGTCCTTAAGAAGATGGGCTAATAGGCAGAGTAAAGTGAGACAATCAAAAGTGCCAAAAAATAAAATTTATCACTTAGGTCTACAGGTTATCGCAGAGTTGCAGAAGTAAAGGAGTTTTTTTCATGTAGTTGTGAATACCCACGGTATAAATACATGTCATTATTTAATGTCAGTTGCACTGGTTAATTTGGAAATAAATTTGATTTGAAAATAGTATCCACCAAACATTCTTCCCTTTATATTTCTCATTTGTAATTCAGTAATGCTGAAAGCTGTAATGTAACAGAAAAGAAAAAGCAGTCACCTCTGACAGATAATCTTTCGCCATGGGAAGAATGGTTCATTTGCAAAGAGAGAGAGTTACGTGTCCGCTTACAAGCCAGAGCTTTAGAGGTGAATATTTCTGAATATTTTCCCTTAAATTTGACAGTAGATTAACAGGCACTGAAATGCAGGTTTTTTTCTATTTATTGTGAAAACAAGATACATTTGTTCTTTATCTTTAATGTCTTTAGACATGCATAGTTTTTGTGTTTGTGTAAACCAGTGTGATTCATGTTCCATGCATTTCTCTTTTGCTAAATGTTATGTTTAATTGGAAATGTGGTGTATATATTTTGTATATGGTTCAGGTTTAAAGGATTAAAACATATTTGTGTAATTGGTACCTTGATTTTCCTCATATGCCTGCATTTAAGCAATAAAACACGACAGGGCGTGCGTTGTGTATAGGAACGCCAAGGGACATGGTTAGACATGAGGCATGTTGTTGACAGCCACCTAGGTATGTTGTATCAAACAGTTGTATAATCTCTTCCCAGAATATTCACAATAAGTGCTTCTCACCCCAGCATTTCTTTTCCTTTAGCCATCTGTTTTCTTCTTATAAATAACCTACTCCTGAATAGTAGCACTGTGGCAGAACTAAGTGAGCCTCCTTTTCCTAATTGGTGTGTGTGCAGTCCTGTTGTTTAAGCTATATTAACATTTACAGTCAGGTTGGGGAAGCATAGCAGAATGGTTAAAGCAATAGAATCAAAGCTGGATCATTGGGTTCATTTCTAACCTGTGCCACTGGCTAATCATGTGACCATGAGCAAATGTCAACCTCTCTGTGCCACGTTTTCTCCATCTGTAAAATGAGTATAACATACATCACAGATGTTTTTTGTGTCTTAACTCATTGGTGTTTTGAAGTACTTGCAGTCTTCAGATGGAAGGCTAGAGAGAAATGTTCTATGTTTTATGTTGTGTTAAAGGTGAATGGAAAGCTAGAATCACTTAGAACACATTCCTGGAGTTTACCAACTTTCCTAACATTCAGCACATATTTTGGACTTCCTTTTAGATTTTAAGTTGGCACTCATCTCTTCTCCCCACTCCATTTCCTCCCCCTCCTCTTTCTCCCCCCGCCTCCACCCCCCCAAAGAAAATTGATCCAAGCTAATTTTTGGTGATATGTGAAAAATGTGATTCATATATAACCTAACTCATCAAGACTGGATCAGAACCAAAGTAGTTTACTTCTATATGCTTGAAACAATGGAATGCTTATATAGTACACAACTTGGAATGTCTCACACTGTGAGACTTATTTAGTGACATGGTAAAAATAGATCATAGCAACAAAGAAAACAATAGAAGGGGAAAAACAAAATTCTGAATTTATTTAATTTAAACACTATAAATATTAGACATTAGGAACCTTCACTCACAATGATTTTGATAAAAACTTAAACTTGTTTGTAAGAAGAGAAAAGCACATCTGTTTTTAAAATATCACATTAACACTATTTAAAAAAAAAAAAAATCTAGACTAAGATCCTGAGAAACTTCTGGTTTTTGTTTGTTTGTTTTTGTTTTTCAGAATGAGTGCCATTAGAACTATCCTAAACAAAGGGAATATGTAGAAAGTGATTTGGAATGGATGTTTCTTTCAGCATGTATCTTCTAGGATAGAGGTTCTCAACTTTTCTTTGAGGCCCCCACAACATGATGTAAAAACTACAGGGCCCCATGGGGGGAACTAGGGCTTTAGTCCCACAGGGAGCTGGGCTTCAGCTGAGGGGACTTGCGTAGGGTTACCATATTTGGAGCCTCCTAAAGGAGGACACTCCATGGGGCCCCGGCCCCGCCCCCAGCCCCGCCCACGCCCCAATTCCGCCCCTTCCCCAAAGTCCCCGCCCCAACTCCGCCCCCTCCCCTGCTTCCCGCGAACATTTGATTCGCGGGAAGCAGGAAGCAGGTAAGCTGCAGAGGTGGGGGGAGGAGGCGGCCCCGGCACCCGGCCAAGCGTGCCCCCGGCCCGGCGCACCGCCCGGCGGCCCGGCGCACCCCCTGGCCACCCAGCACCGGCAGCCCAGCGCGGCCCCAGCTCAGCACCGCCAGCCCCCGGC